TTAGTATTTTATAAGGCTCCTATCCGCTTCGATGTTCTCTGTAAATGAGAAGTACGCAGTAGTACTCATATTGCGACCCAGCGAGAGAGAGGTGAGCCTTAGGACCTCAGCTGGTCTAGGAACAAGTGCTAAACGAGGTAGGACGAGGTGAGGGAGTGAAGTTGGCCAAAGTTGTCCGATACATGGCCGACCCTGAATACGGTCCCGACTTCGACTTGACTTCGACTACGGTTGTTTTCCTTTTTATACCATCTGGCCTAATATGCAATCAAATGTACTCTCTCCTAATGTTCCCACTATTTTGACAGCAAGACAAATACATGGCGATTTCTAGCAGGGATATTGATGAGCAACTTTTTCTTTCACCAGTTCCACAAAAGGAAAGCGAAAAAAAGATATGGGAATGATTTTCCATGCCAAACAAATCTTTGGTGTTGCCATTCGATTGAGTAGAAAACTGTATCGTGAATCACTGAGTAAATACTAAGTTTCAATGATCCTTGACAGAGTGAAAGATCTTTCCAATTCCAGTTGAGACGATTGCGCAAAGCCATAAACTCGTCAATCAGCACGATGTGCCAAAAAAGGTATGCCTAGTATTTCCCCCACTGGAAAAAAAACCCACTCGACCGGACGTCATCGTCATGCATCGCTCATTCACTCAACTCTGTCCTATTCGTGAGACGTCGACGAGTTTCCCACGCAGCACTTCACTTTCATCTTCTTCGAACCACGTAAATGCGCTTCGGTGCGGACATGTTCGAGGTTGAACCGAAGTGCAATCAACTGGGAAAACTGAGGGGAATACCTCTGAGAGATGCTACAGGGTTAGGGGAATATACAGAAGAGGGGAAAATTTCTGAAGTGGAACAAATTTGCAAATTCCTCCTCTCAACATCAACCCATTGGTATTCAGGTTATCTTACTGGCCAGCCGGTGTTAAGACACAGCTTTCATGCTCCCGCATAGGTCTGGTGACGTCCATGAGCCACAGAAAGACGCGATGCGACCATTACTTTGAGCGGAAAGGAAACAGTGGCACTACTAGCAGCTCGTCCTGTAGCTGAGCCAGGCTGGGCGCTACAACAAGCTCTTTTTTACCTGCTACTTTGTCTTCGCCGATAAAACCGCCTAGACCAACCATTTCCTTCAGGCAGCCTGACATTGCATGCAGGCTACCCCTAGGTAGTCGCGTGAAAGCTTAGGAAGGACGACGTGACGTTCAATAGTAGAAGGTTTAGCTCACCTACGTCAAAAGGTCAACAAGCTGTCCGAATCACTCCTTTAGTTCGACGCCCCCATAATTTGGCATACTCCATTTCTATCAGTGATCCTCTTTCACTTGCCCTCCCCGAAACATTTTATACTGCCTCGCTTTCAGGACATTACGAACGCTATGGCTCTAATTTGCCGCACCCAGCACCGAGGCCCTAGCCAGTAGCCCTTCGCAGAGCACATGAGCGCGTGAGGAACGCGCGATTCCTGCGTTAACAAAGCGGCCTACAGGACAAGACCAGTCAAATAATTTGCTGCGAAAGAAAATTTGGATAAAACCCTCAAGATGGAATGAATTGAGGCCCATGATGACTTGGAAATGGTTGAACAATAATCCCTTTGAGGAAAACGGGCCATTTATTTGGAGGGGGCAGGGGCGGAAGAAAGGGACCAAGACGCGTCATCGTCTTGAGTTTTTGCTTTCCTAGAACGCCAGGACCTTAACAATCGTACCCTCGTTTTTTCGGTGTTTTTCCCGCAACCACTTGGAATAAGCGTCCAAACGTTACGTTGTGCGAGCGAAGTTGAATACCCCAGAAACTTCCAACGCTAATAGACTAACTCTGCACTTACCAGGAAGATCTTTTCAGGACGTGCCAAGCTTTTTCAGAACGGTATTATAGAAGGCACATGTAGGAACCTACAAAACCATGGTTCATTTTCTCTCTAAATACCAGGAAAGGGGGTCCCGGTGTTTCATTTCCTTGTGGTGGAAATTTTTGCATTTCGAGTTTCCGTTTCGAAATTCGCGCAAAATGGGATCGTACTTATGAGTATGGCATTCATTGTTTATGCTAACTCCATTTTGCACGAATTTTGAAGCGTCAACTCGAAATGCAAAAATTTGTCACCACGAGGAATCGATCCAGGACCCCTCTTCTTTTGGTATTCAGAGGGCCGTTCAGGAAAAATTAACATGGTTCTGTGGTTCCTACATGTGCCCCTATACAATGCAAAAGACCCCGTTCTGGAAAAAGCTTGGCACGCCCTGAAGACCTACCTGGTTAGGTTATCATTTTGCGGAAAGGATCTAGGCAACTTTCGAGGAAGTAATGATTCAGTTCCCAACACCTCTATCTGTGACCAAACTGGTCAAAGAAAAGTAGCCTTGTTCCTTTATCCAGATTTTCTCCTCTATGAGATATTTTCCTATTGACGTCACACTCAAATAATCACCATCTAACTGGACTCGACCGAATATTTTATGGGTGCACATAAAGGCAATTCATATTCAAACCAATGACTCTATTCTTCAGCGAGGGACCGGGTGGCAATGAAACCCTCAGTACAAACAGATGCCACTTAAATATTCCGATTAGAGCAAAAAAAGCGAAATTTCTTTAAATTCTTTCAGGCAGAATGGAGTAGTGGCTTGAAACATCCCTTTCTCTTACACGGTTTCCAATTGAATCCTGTCCCCCAAAAACCAGACCTCCCATTCTGAGAGGGTTGGCTAAATGGTTAAATGGATTTGAGACTTTTTGGAGAATAAAAACAAAGACTCAGAGATGGGCTGGCTTTCGCGATTAGTCATATGAGACGCCATACGCCAACATACGTTTACGTCATTTATGAACTGGACCAGTTTTTAGTTCCGATCTGTAGTATAAAACATGGCGTATCCTTGAGAGGTAGATGACGACGACGGCTACGAAAGTTGCTCGTAAAAAAATTGAAAAAATAATCGTTTTAAAGTCTTAGACAACTCTGGGCCATGCAACCAACATTTAGCCGTGAAGATAGACCTTCGGTGGGCTGAAAGAATAGGAAGAAGAGATCGCACAGAGCGCATAGGACGGGAAGAACAAGTGGGGGGGAGGTCCACATGCTCAACAAACAACTGGGCTTTATTTTCTAGGGAAAATTTTTCGAAGTAACGCCATCATTTTCATTGACACCTGGGCACCTCAAGCCTGAGGTGTTACCGTAATCATTATGAAGGGGCAAGCAAAACATGAGAACGATTGAGAAATAGCGAGATTGAATGGCGCGCAAAGTATGTGAAGACACGGCATCCTGTAGGGAAAACTTCTTTTTAAAGCACATCCTATTTCGGGTAAATCGATGATTTCTATTTCCACAATAATTCGCCATGGCTTAAGACGGCCAGTCGTTACTTAAAACACGAAAAGAAGCATTCGGCATTTCGTTTTGATAAAAAAAGTTGAAAAAACGCGGAAAGGGGCTGCTACGCGTCAAAAGTACCCGCCGGAGCATCTTCACAAATGCTGGCGACGCAAGAACGCCTTCATCTTGTTCTCGAGGGACCGTCACTGAAATCCTTCAGGGGAGGGGGGGGGGGGGGGAGGGGGGGGGTGGCCTTTTGCCTAATTGCATTCACATCTCACACTTCTACTGCATCCTATTCTATCGATCGATTTGTCTCTACTCTCCAAAATCGCACGCTTTAGCCCGATTCTTTCATTGCGTCGCCTGATTTGTACGTAGCCGCCCCAGTGCGGACTTTTTCCATGCCCCGCCTTTGGCTCCGTGCCAACTTACCTTCAAATGTACATAGAAGTGTATTCTTATAATTTTGTTTCTCTTTGGAAACTTTGTATGTTGCCTATAAAAGGATAAAGCCAAAAGGATAAAGCACCTGTACGTTATTCTGGGATGCGGCACGCATTCTACTTCCATTTGTACATTCGCAGTGGCGTTTGAATGCGATGTGGCCTATACAATGACTTGCGGGGGCCAGCCGATGTACAAGTCAGTGTTTTTATCCTCCCAGACAAGTCTGGTACCAATTAACCGAGGGATGGAAGGCTTGGTTGGCCCGGGCGACTCACGACCCAGGATTTGATCCCCGGACCGCTCGCGTGGTAAGCGCGCCACTTGTCACTACACCACTTCCGCCCATGTG